TCTTTATTAAAACTGTCACAACACAACTAAATTAAGGACAGTGCCTAGTTTGGCTCTGCTACATGTTTCGGCTATTAAAAAACATCTTCAGGCAAATACATGGCTAACATATATACACCACTGAACTGCATATATTAGCCATATATTTGTCTGATGATGGCTTTTAATAGCCGAAACATGTAGCAGAGCCAAACTAGGCACTGACCCTAATATAGTTGTGTTGTGACGGTTTTAATAAAGAAATTGTATATTATAACACAACAGGATGCATGAAATGAAAATTATAAATGTTTATGTGTAAACTGCATAATGAGGAGCTTCATAACTTGTATAGTTAGTGCCTCGTAACTTTAGCCGCCCGGAAAGGTAAACGCTATTGTAGAGCACACGAAGCTGTACGCTTGCTGTGGTGACGTTCAGAGCTACTCCCCGAGCGGAAAACATTGCCTACGGAGACCAGGAGTAGATACCACAGAATCAATACACCTGACCACACTCCAAGATGCTACATTGCAAACTGGTAGTACCCACACTGATGTAAGCTGATAAGACTGTTCCCCCAGCTCTGCGAGAGATGGTATGACCCCTCTACCATGGCTAGAGTTGCGAGGAACTAACACTACGCTTCCACAAGTATAATTAGAATGATCAAGTCAAGGAGGATGAGGTGGGCAGGGCATGTAGCACAAATGATGGAGACAAATGCATGTAGGATATTGGTGGGAAAGCCAGAAGGACAGAGACCACTGGGAAGACCAAGGCATAGGTGAGTGGGCAATATTAAAATGGACCTTAGAGAGATAGGATATGGGGTGGTATGGATTGGATTGATCTGGCTCAGGATAGGGAGTGGAGGGCTCCTATGAACACGGTAATGAACCTTCGGGTTCCATAAAGTGCTGGGAAATTCTTGAGTAGCTGCAGAATTGGCTTCTCCTCAAGAAGGGCTCAGCTCCATTAGTAAGTAAGTGTGTTTATGTGTTTCATGTGGTTCTCACAAAAAGCAGTGACTATTTCGATAAACAGGATTAAGCTGGTTGGTCTTTGTTCTTAGAGTGGTAGGAAGTAAAATTTTTTACTTTATTATGTAGGTAGTATATGTGAGAAAGTACTGTGATGATGAAAGAGAGGAATCTCCAGATTTTGATGGATTGATACTTTCAGTCCCCACAGTACAAATAAAGTGGCTTCTGGAATGCTTTGTAAGTGCCTGCGTGCCTGAATGGTTAGATGGATTCTATTCATATTCAGTATTTAAGAGTGTTTCCATCATAGGTTGGTGTCTGGAGAACATGAACATTCCAACTGCAAAAATAGAGGCCCCTGACAGGACTCCCCCAAACACAAAATTGTTATCTTACAAACAGCTCTAATGATTTTGATTAAATTTCAGTCATTTATGGACAGCGTCTCCCCCAATGAAATTGCATAGCTAGTATCTTCAGGAAAAGAACAGTATTCCCTCTGTATGAGAAAGTATGTGCAATGGGTTTGCACTCCTTTTAAATTTTATGTAGATGAATTTGAGGCTTCAAAATGTTAAAGGCAGTGGATATAAAATTGAACACTTAGTCTGCTTTAGTCTGCAAGTGAACTATACTGACTGAGCAACAGCCGCTTGTTGGTGAAGTTAGTGCCGACTTTTGCTGGCAGAGGGTGTCGTGTGGTCATTGCAATGGATTCCCACAACCGTTAATCTCGGTTTTCTAGACCAGAGCTGCTACTTTTCCATTCAAGTAGCTCCTCAGTTATCCTCACGAGGCTGCATGGACCCCATTCCAGACCCACTACTTCTCAGAAAATCTGGTAGTACCAGGAATCGAACCTGTGACCTCTGGATCTGTAGCCAGGAACTCTGACTACTAAACCACAGAGGCAGTATTGTATCAAGTTTTGAGGGATCTGGTGGGTAGAAAATGTGAAATGAAATAAAACCTTGGTTTCTTTTTGTTCCATTTTTAGTGGGTCCCGTGCTTCCATGGTATGGCATGTCCAGAGGTTTAGAGATGAAGGGAAAGGTCTGCAAGTACTGTGGGTACCTGCAAGTATACTGAATAAGCAACTGCAGAGAGTTGACAGGGGTTTGATGTGGGTTAGCATCTTGTCACTATAGAAACCAAAAATGTTACATCGGGCCTTGGGCTTGGAAGGATACTTTGGTTCATTATGGGGACCAGTAACGGGTTCTTGTGAAAACAGTAATCAACCTTTGGGTTCTATGAAATGCACAGAATATTTTCACAAGTGAGCAACTACGAGTATTTGCTATGAAAGAGGGACTCGGCTTCATAAAGTTGTTCTGTCTTTATGATCCTGTAGATCTGATGATGAGTCCTCAATATTTCTTTGTCTCGTTACAGGCCATTTCTACAGTCACGATTGCTACGTTTTTCTTTGTCGCTATTGGGTGCCTATTGATGTACCAGATGATGCAAATGGAGAAGCAGAAACAGAACCAGAGCAGTTGGAGGATGACTACCAGTGCATTGTGTACTTCTGGCAGGGTAGAGAGGCCTCCAATATGGGGTGGCTCAACTTTACTTTCAGGTAGGATTACAGTTTCTGTTCTGAAAGGCAGGGGCACAGTTGATCGAGATTTTCCACCCTTCATGCTGGTTTTTTTTTTACTAATCTCACTGAGTAACTTGACAGTTATGACACGTGAGGTTTATTTAGTGGTAAAGATTTATATTGTCATGTGCACGAATGACTATGGGCAGGGTTTGGATCGGTGACTTGATTTATTGTGGACCTATACACTCACAACTCATGATTGCACTTCACAGATCACTGACACACACAGAGACTAGTGTCCTCAGTTCAATTACAGTCTTCACTAGTCATTTCCTGGCAACAGATTTTAACACATGACCTATAACTGTCTCACTGACTTACACATTCTAAATATGATACATAAAGTCTTCTCTTCACCGCCTGTCAGTTGAGCACATTTGCAACTAACTAGTTGTGCCAAACCAACCCAATTATAACATCTTGGCATGGACAACATAGAAAACACTGTATCTCTGTTGCTGTACCATTGTTGTGTTCATGTCTGTTGCTGCGGGGATGTGTTTACCGAGCCGTTGTCTAAAAACAGCTCAGGTATATTTGCTTATCTCACAGTTCTTGCATAGTAGTGGCCCTCCACACTACAGTATTAATATTTTCTGGGGTTATGACATCAAATGGATACCGGCATTTCAAAAGAATATGTTGTTTGTACCCTGAAGATGGAGGCAGTATGTTCCTCCGAAATATTTCTACCTGCCTAGCAGACTCCATAAATGTCGTAACTCAAAAGACCACAATGTGAAGAGAAAGGCTGTAACTCCCCCCCCCCCCCCAGTTGAGTCAGAAAATATCTAAGCATTAAAAAAACCTGACTTCTACCCCAAAGATAGAGGCAGTATATTTCCTTGGCAAATTGGTACCCACCTATAGGACTACATGTTGTCTTAATCTGGAAGATAGCAAGAGCTGAACAGGGGGGGGATTGCCTAGCATATGCACCTCTTGATTGTTGTGTGATGACCCCACCTTCTGGAGAGCCCTGGAGGCTGCAGTTGCTCATGCAGGCATGATTACATTCTTTAAGTTGTGACTTGTATATAACAGCAGCAGCAAGCCCTGTGAGCGTACAGTGTTGATTGAGCAGAGTTGCAACACTGCATGTATGAAGTGTGAGTTTGTGTAGGAAGTTGGAGATGAGAAGTTAGTTCTGTGCAGGCAGACAGAAGATGAAAGAAGAGGACATTGCATTGACTTTAGTAGTGGCATTATTGTAAAGTGATGAGTGGTCAAAGAACTGACATTAAGATCATAAGTGGCTACTGATGGTGAGACAGTGACTGCAGCATATAATGATGCTACAGTATCTAAACATTATCATAACTTTAGTTCTATCTTGAATAGGGAGGCAGTACTTCTGAAACAGTGGTACTAACCTATTAAAAAAGGTAAAGCTATCCCTGTAACAGGTCATGAAAGCCCCTAGGTTTGTGGGACATCGAGGCTCCCACATTTTCTCTATACAGTCGGGTCACAGATGGTGGTAAGATTGTCAGCCTTACGTGCCAGCTGCCCTTTACCCCCAGGAAGATTCCTGGTACTCATTTCTGTTAAAGGCTGAATTCAACCTAGAACCATAGTGGGGCTGGAAGGATTAGGTCAGTTGTAAAAAATCCACCTCATTGGGATTCAAACCTGTGGAATTCCAGCTTGTAGCATAGTGCCTCAACCAACTATGCTACTGTGTTCCGCTGGTACCGATATATTAAACTACTTAAATAGCTGGTATGTATTTAAAGAATGCCTATGGAAAAGTAATATGGAAGGCTCAAAAGGTACACAGACTTTTATTTGAGAACAAGTTGTGCATCATCTTGTTTGTGTTTGGTTACAGCCTTCAGAAGAAGTTCAAGTCATTATTTGGAGAGAAACTGGAAGTTGTACGAACACATCAGCAGCAGGAGAACCTCAAATTTATGGCACATTTCAAGCGGAAGTTTGTCATTCACCAGGGCAGGCGAAAGGAGGCAGTGCCACGAGATGGTCCACCTCCAGTTGAGTTTTACCATCTTCGATCCAATGGGAGTGCTCTGTGCACTCGTCTCATACAGATAAAACCAGATGCTGCTGCCCTGAACTCTGCCTTCACGTAAGTGAACAATTCAGGGACCGAAGTGCATGTGTCTTAAGACATCTCTGGCCATTACACTTCATATTAAGTGTTAAAGAAGATAACCATCGACTTCTACTAAAATATTGAGTCAGTAAAATCACCATACATCTTTTGATCCTATAAGAAATTGTAGTAAAATTTTGTTACACTTGGTGATTGTCATGTTTCTTATCAATCAGTCGCACCTGTTTGTTCACCCATTATTATTTTGAAATGACCGACCAATTTATGTTAAATTTGTGTGAATGTAAAGCCATTGGAGGCTGCCCCTTGTTCATACTTTCTAAATTCATTATTTTCAAATATCAGCCCACAGATAACATATTTCATGGTTTTCATAGTCTATCCAGGCAAATACCAGGGTGGTGAGAAGAGTTCTATCTTCTGGGGATGTGATCTTGTGTAGTTTGAAGTTCACCGAAATTTCACAGGAAAATATTGTGTTCAGGGTTAAAGAATGTGCCAAGCAAGCAATCAGCAAGTACAGCTGAAGGTGGAGGTGATACAGTGAACTGCTGCAGGACCACACAGTGTCGCATCGTAGTCACTACAATGAGAACCTTGAATCCATCCAGGATAGTGCCTTAAAGTAGGCTGTGACCACTTCCACTTTGTTCCAGTTCATTCATTGTATCTTTAATGCCATACAGTGTGTGCATGACTTATTGAAAATGTTGATAAATGAACTAAGAATAAAGAGACTTACTTCTATTTTGGTGGCTGCAGATATATTCTGAAAGTTCCGTTCGATAATGAAGAGTCATCTGGAATAGTTTATGTTTGGATCGGATCCAAAGCAGATCCGGATGAGGCGCGACTAATACAGGAGATAGCAGAGGAGATGTTCAATAATGTGAGTATCAGCAGCCAAGTTCCATTCATATTCTCTCTCGAAAGGGAGAGGATGATGTGATTGTTAGTTCCCATAGTGACGGATTGGGGTTGATGAGACTGGTTTACATAAAGGGGCATTGAACAGGTCAGTCAAGAGGTGCTCAGTTTGAATCTTATCTGGGATATTATTTCTCCTGCCTGGGGTTTTCATGGTTGTCCTAAGCCTCTCCAGGCAAATGCCAGGATACTACCTCAGTGAAACCACAGCTGATTTTTTCTGAATCCCTTCAAGTTCATAAGCCATCCAGATGCTGACAGCATTGTTGAATAACCCACACCAAAAAATGTATGGGAATCATTACAGAGTAAATAATAATATGCTCTTTTGTATGTAACTTAACTGTACTCTGGGTAAGTGCTTTGGCAGACTGCATCAGCTTCACTGAAGGCTCATGTCCCAAGAAGATGCAAGATCAGTGTCTTCTGGAACGTAATGCTGTGTGGCTTGTTACCAGTGTTTTGGAATGATGTGCTGCCTCCATCTTCAGGGTACCATGAAGATGGGCACAGCAGATTCATCTGAAATGTTGCCAGACTACACGGTGTCACATCCCAGAACACAGTCATCAACAGAGTCACCGCTGTGGGAACCTCAGCTCTCAAACAGAAACATGCAGTGAATGAGAAAAGTAATTCCTGGGGGTTACGTGAACTTCGCTAAATCTTGAAGAAAATGAACTGAGGAAAAAGAGGATATTTTCAACATAGAACAAGAACCACTGATTCGATGGGAAACATGAAAGAGGGTCCTTGAGAAGCTGATAGTTGCTGAGATCAAGAAATGCTCTTTCTTTTATTGGATCCAAAGGTTCATTGTCATGTTCATGAAAGCTTGGCACCAGTTGGCAGAGGGATAAATCCATGTTTAGTCTTCATGAACAATAAGTAGTTCTCCTGAAATGTAACTCCCCATAACTCAATCTGTTGCAGCCATGGATCGGCTTTCAGACACTCAATGAGGGTGAGGAGCCAGATAATTTCTTTTGGTTGGCCCTTGGTGGCCGGAAGGAATATGATAAAGAAGCTGATTTTATGAACTACACACGTCTATTCCGATGTTCTAATGAAAAGGGATATTTCACAGTTTCTGAGAAGTGTTCTGACTTTTGCCAGGTAAGTGTGAATATGTTATATTATTACAGTGGAGGGCCAATTTAATAATGTTCTCAGTTTAAGGTTTTCCTTCATTTAATGTCCCAATTTCAGTTATCTCAAGTCAATAAACTTAGTGTTAAATTTCTTCTGTTAAGATTGTCCTGAGTGCAATATTCAAATTCACTACTCTCCAAAGAACATTTAAATGGGGTTTTACTGTATATACGTAGGTAGGCTGAAAAGTAATGCACACATGCTTGTAGAGCGCGAACGAAATGACCTTCAAAAGCGCGCCAGGTGGCATGTGGAAGTGACATTCCCCCTCAATACACATGTGCAGGTTTGAGGTCGTTGTGTTCATCCAGTGTATTTTGAGAAGCGGAAGTATGGAGATGTGTTCTAGTGCTATGTCAACGCGGGTTAAACAGAGGNAGTACATACAGACTCTAAAACACCTCCGGCGTTGAGTTTGTCGTGTTACAGGCAGCCTGGTGCCAATAATCTTGCAACATGACAACGCTCGTCCACACACCTCGTGTGCAACTGAAGAGGCTCTGCGAAACCTGAAGTTTGAACTGATTCCACACCTTCCTTATTCCCCCGATCTTGCACCTTGCGATTTTTATTTTTTTCCTCTACTCAAGAGAGACCTCAAGGGTAATCATTACACCTCGGAAGATGAGGGTGAAGGCAGCTGTCAAGTCCTGGATTCGAGAAAAGTCGGAAGAATTTTTCAGTGACAGACTGAAAAAACTTGTTACACGTTGGGAGAAATGTGTTAGCCTTAATGGTGACTATGTTGAAAAATAAATATATGCTTTTGAAACTTAAGAATTGTACTTTAATGTGCTTTGTGCCAGATCTTGCTATTTGTTTTTGTTCGCGCTCTACAAGCATGTGTGCATTACTTTTCAGCCTACCCACGTATTACAGAAACTGGGATAGCTTAGTCAGTGTAGAGACTAGAATATGGCCTGGACAGCTGGAGAATCAGTGTTTTAATCCCAGCAGAGTGAGAGATTTCTCTTTTCTCCACACCCCATCCAGTGCTAAGGTTAGGAATGTGTAAAGCTGTACCTCCACTCTCATGTCTTAATGGCATGGTGCTTAATGAAGCATGGAGACACCTTTATGATATACACTCAACTCTTCATTATCCGGGGGCAGATGGACTGGTTTGCAGCTTAACCGGGGCTTTTTTGAGGCTTATATGTTGTTTAATATTCATTCACTTTTGTTTCACATGGTGAGTTGTAACAATATTTTCGCACTAGTGTGAACCGAGCTCTGCATTTTTTGGACCCGTTATGCTAACACAATGTTCTAGGGTAGGGGTGAAAGAATGCAAGGATTTGTGGAAAGTTTCAAGGACAGATACACCCCCCCCCCCAGTTAGTCTCTTTGTATCAATCTTCAAGTGCGTTAGCAAAATGACAGGGTGTAAAAGTACGAAGGGGGACCCAAAAATAACCGGAAACGACCTGTTGCACGCATGCTTTGTAGTTACGAGTTGTGCTGCTAGGTGGTCTTAGTTGGGGGTCTCCCGCGACTGTTAGTGAGCTGGCGTCAGTCTGAGTTAAGTGGTTTGTCTGTGGTGCTCTGTTGTGTGCGTTCCTGTTT